CCGTACAGTTGAGCAGGAGATTTCTCTTCTGTCCCCATGGGCAGAGTTACTCCACTGTCAGACTAGTGGAACAGACACCTAATACGTAATGCCTGGTGTGTGTTTGAAAACTGTTGCACTGAAGCCTTGTTTCCCCACAGCAATGATGCTTGATGTTTCAGTGTCTCCTCACACTGAAATTCAATTATATTTTTTAAATCTCTAGATGAATCAGGTCCTGGAAAAAATATTTGCCAGTCGGGCTCATGATCATAGCACTGACATAAGCTGGGAGCTGTGCAAAGTACAGCCACAAAATTTCCCTGCCTCACAAAGCAGTTGAGTTTTTAGCTATTTTCCATTCCACAGTGGAATAGGATTTCTCATGATATTCATTTGAGAGAGACAAAAACTTAGTCAGAATAATAAGTAGTACTTAAAGTACTAGCCAAGGAAGTGAGAGAACAAGTCCCTGATCACCCCAATGGGGACTACGCAATCAAAGCTGGTCTCTGACTCCAGTGATGCTCTAATTATCGGACTATTTGAAGGTCTCCCCCAGTTTCTTATGTGTTACAGACATAATTAGCCTGTATTAAAGATATAATTAGTGGGCAAGGGAGAGCAAAATACTGACTCTGCAGCCCAATAGTCTGACACTCATCTGAGCATTGGGGCATCCAGGTGATCACAACAGGAGTGCCCTAGCCATAGAAAGACTGGCTAACCTGAAGTTTCCGTGTGTCATCAGAAAATTTATTTCAAACTGAGAAACACTACACAAAAGATGTTTCACTTGAAATATTTGTTCAAAGTCCAGCTTTTGTTCAACTGGCGTTTTCCAATGAAACTGTATTTTCTGAGAAAATTCTTAGGCAGCTGTAGCTGTCAACACATCTAAAGTGTGATACTGCCCTCTGATAGCTGGCACATATGTACCTCAGCATATCAATTTCTGCATTTTCATGCAGCCAGAGGAGCAAGCCGATTTCCTAAGCTATTTGCCAATACATCTCACATACAAGGAACAAGAACGTTCTTGAAGTATCATATGAACTGAGCTCCCAGATACCTCTCTGTCAATGCCATAAGCCTATTTTTCGATCTCACTCGAGTCAGCTAATACTCCCCATGAGAACGCAAGACTTGCAAACACATTTGGCTATTTGAGTTACGGGCCAATGATTATAGGCTTCTAATCTCAACATTTAATTTGAATAGTCATTTAAATTGACATAAAGAAGCCATTTCTAGGGTTGATCTGTTACTGTTACGATTGCTCCAACTTATAGTGGAAATTCAAAAAGCTACGGATATAGTGTGAATTTGAAATTTAAGTCCCTTCAGCTCTCTCATGTTCAGTTAAGTGAAACAGCAGACTTTCTTTTTAATTGCTGGCTTTTCAGTTTTGAAAAAAAATGACAGTTATATATATAACATAAGCAACAAGTAAGCAAAATTAAAGAAATCAAGAAACAGGTGTGTTTAAATATAATACACAACCACATGTACTACAATCATTTTCATCCAATGAAAACGTGTCATGTTTCCAATATAACATGCAGCACACACATAAAATTTACATTCTGTTTGTATGCGGACTTGGCACAATTTTTGAAACCCCAGTCATCTTGCGAGGCCCTACATTTATTTCTGAGCTGCTTCACTGAAAAACAACATTTAGAAACAGCTCGTGGGAGTGGGGAATCTGTTAACAGCTCAACACAAATATTAATCTCCTCATGAAGTTCAGTGTGGGGAGACCTATAAACTGAGGATTGATGTGGAAATATATTTGCTCCATGAACTGTGCTGTCAGGGAGAGGATGTGACAAGGCAAGGTTTGCAATTGCGCCGACAAGCACCGGTTGGGAGGATTCTCCAATTATCTCCCAACAGGTTTTGCAAAAGGCATTTTTTTTTTTAGTAAAGGCCAACGTGACGCTGTTCGCTGACGTTCCAGTGGGCAGGCACCTTCACACCTATCCGCAAAGTGCACCTGGGAGGTTTTCCAGCTCCCTGGCCAGCTGCTCACCAACACCCCTCCGTCCCTCACCCACCCACGGCGGTGGAACCAACCTGAGAGGCTGCCACTCCTTTCGGAGCTGTTGTGGGAGCTGGTGGTGCTGAAATCCTGTGACTGGTTGTGTGGCAATCTATTAGCCAATCCCTCAGCCACGCGGTAGTCAGGGATGTAAAGCAAGGCTAAGGGTTAAAGGGCAAAGGTCACAGTGGCATCGTGTGATTAGTTGACAGCACAAGCACATGCAACACATGCAGTTAGCAAGTCAACGGCAGATGTGGTGGGGCAGCAAGTTTTAATGTTTTTTTTTGAATGTATACCTATCCTAGCCTAATGGAAGGCAGATGGCTTGGTGATTAGCACGGGACAAAGGGATTAAAAGCGCAGAACAATATATTTTGTGATTGTGTGAGGTTCGGCGTGCATGCAAGGTATGCAAGCATTAGTTACGGTAAATATGAACAGAGTCTCACATACTAAAAAGATTTTGCCAATTCATGCATAGATGATACAGTATAAAGCCAAGGGCTCCGGAAAATAAGAGCCGTAGTTACCATTGTTGCCTTTGCCTTGGTCTGGGAGAGAGTAACCGAATCCCATCAGGTCATTTTTTTGTTGAATTGAGCTTTTCCACTGAGGATCAGGTAAGTCGACAGCCAACTCATGGATGCTGTTGGAATGCAGTATCTGGGTGGTGGCATACGGTGTGGCTTGCGTAATTTGGCTGGAACTGTTGTAACTAGTTTTCGTGGTGAAGTCAATGCTGCTGTAAATGGCTCCATCAGAAAGCATAGTAGCGGTTTTATCTCCTTGCCCTGGCACTGGTGGCAGCACATCTGTGGGGAACGAAAAGGGGAATGAAACAAATCATTGATGCACAGGAAGCCTGAAAGTATCAAGGTTTAAGATGAAAAATAAATGTGTCGTTTTGCACGTTTGCATTTCAGCCGAGACAGGTCCATGAGCCAACGAAGGGAAGATGATGTACAACCATCGCCAAGCTATCAGCATCTGTGACAGGCCTGCCACTTGTCCTTCACGTCTCACTGCCTAAAACCATCTTTTTTTTCCCATACCTTCAACTGTGAAAGTGAAGTTTGGAATATTTCTCTACTGAAGAATGTTTTCAATTGTTCACTCTATGTCAGAACCAATGAAACTGTCTGGGCTTCAGGGAAATGATGAAAGGAGTGAATCTACAAATCACAGAGGAAACTTTCCCAGCAAATATGTAGCAAAACTCTTAAATGGATGCCAAAGCTCTCAAAGTAATTTTTTAAGGGCAACACCTTGACTTCCTTGAAGTTTTATGCATCAGCTTATCTAATTTTCTTTTTGACATTAGCTAGTACATTTCTCCTTTTCAACAAAAGAAAAACCTGACAAAACCAAGTTGTTCCCGATATGTGAAAGAAAATCTGTTATTCTGAAGGGATGTAAGTGATCAGTCACATGGAGAACGACTTGTTCAAATGCTCCAGTACATTTACCTGAAAGACAGAACAGCATATTTAACTAAATATCTGTCGACTTTTCTACATCTTTTGAATCCTATCACACACTGCAATTTGTACTTTTAATCAGTTAAATTGGCAATCTCTCTCCTTACTAAACATTGTAGTGACCTTTGCTGGTGGAATACTAGATTTAGAAGCTGAGACTACTGAAGTGTGAAGAATCTAATGATGACTGGCATGATGTCCCAAGGAGAACCACAGCTCAGCAGATAACCCTCTTCCTGCTCTCTTAGAGGTCAATATATCAAATGGTATTATTTTTACAATTTATTTAGACTCTGAAAAGTTGAATCCATTCTGGAATTTACTTGTTAGAAAAATGCATCATTTATATGCCATTTGCTTTATATAGCCAGATGGCAGATATGGATTCCAACTGTTAGATCGTACTTGAGATAATGCATACCCTTATAGTGAGGATGTTCAGAACCCATCCTAGGTATCACAGACCGTAAGCCCCAAAGAGAAAAGTTTATTCTTGCACCTAGACAAGGGTTTAGGCTCAGTTCGAGACTCAGACGTGGGTTTTGTGCAACCTCAGGGAATACAGTTGCTCTCTGTCTCAAGGCTTTTTCAGCAATGGGATATGATACCATGGCCTCCTCCCACTGTTTTTTGTTTGGTTTGTTGTTTTTTTTTCCTGGGATGAACATTTAGACCACAGAACTATTTTCTACTGCGTTCATGTGTGCAACAGTGAACATTTTAATATGGACCCTTATAACATCTGCAGTCTCAGGGCAACGACATAATATTAACACTAAATATGGCAATAACAAGTGCTCAGTAGAGAGACTGCAGAAACAGAGATTAAATTTGGGTTTATCTGCATGATCTGGTTTTGCAGACAACAGGGAAAGGGGCACAATCACGTATTTCAAATGCCTTAATTGTATTAACTTATATCTGCCAATAAATTTTAAGTGCAAAAAATTTACAATTAATGCAAACTACAGGTCATATTTCAAAATCAGGTTATTACTATTTATCTGCACACATCCAGTGTGCTTTCTAGGGGCAGTACACAATCATAAAAGCATCTATGTGCAACTACAGCATGAGATGTGAGAGACAAGTGGAGTCCTACCTTCCTTGCATTTCATCTGCAATATGAAGATTTTTCCTTTCTACAACTGGTTTCATCAAAGTATAATGGATTGAAGTTTAGTAAAATTTTGTTGTTGATGTATAAAATGAAGTAAGTCCAGCTCAACCTGTCTGTGTTGGTTTTGCAGACTCACGGAAGTACAAACTAGCAAAATGCTCATCTCTAAAGTACCCAGACATATATCTATCTTTTAGAGCACGTTGCTGGCAACTGAAAAGGTATCATCTCCATACAGTCATTTTAAAATGGAGAACTATACATTTGCACACACTTGAAGGGAAAGTTGCATAGCTTCCCACCAGCCAAGAATTTTCCGTCATTCTTACTAATAAGCTGAGGTTCTCCAGACATTCTGGCAATTTTCAGTACAACCACAGATTACTTTTTTGACTTCAATGAGATGTATACACTAAGCACTCAAAGAGCTATTAAAGTGCCATTTTACACAGTGCCATAATCACCCAGTAAAAGTCAAGTGTGATTTTCCCACCAAGTTGTCATAGCAAAAAAACCACTGTACATTTCAGATCAAAGATGAACACACATTTCCCACTGGACGCTTTCCCAAAAACTCTCCGAAATCCAACTTGTTTTGTAACTCTTGAGATAAATGAAATAGTGCTGAAGTACTTCCTGAGGGAAGCTCTTTCTTGCTGCCTCAGGAGATGCAGTACCATTTCATGGCCTTACGCGACTCCAAACCTAACCTGTGCTTCCCACTCACTGCCTTGCTCTCAAATGCCTATCTAGGACATAACGTGGATTTCACTCTTAAAGGTAATGTTAGAACTGCCTGCCTCAGCTTCTGAGTTTCCAGAGTGATTGACTGCCACCTTAATGTTTTCAAAATTCTTACAGACCTTTTATATTATCACAGACTTTTTAACCAGCAAAAGAGGCCCAAGTTCTATCTATACAGTTAATTCACGTTAAAAGACTTCTGACTTCTAACCCATCTTTAAAGCAGAAGCATCCAAACTCAACTGCTGAAACAGATAGGGATAAGTGGTCCCAAAACAGCCAGAATAAAAGCGTGAGCTCAACTGTAAAGATCATGAGTGGAATTAAGCTGCTGAAATTCCAAATATAACTGTTGCATCTCTTCAACAAATTTGGACCTATGCCTCATCCACATTGACGCCAAAAGCTTTAAAACATGTTTCCAGTTTCAGTCGTATAGAGCCAAATGCTAAAAGAAAATGGTAATTTTTCTGTATTATGTGAGCTTATGGAAAGATGGAAAAGTACTGAAGGGTTTTATTTTCAAGATATTCACAACAAAGAAGTTATTCAGTTATTCAGTTGCCTTCTAAGTATTATCAAAAGTTTTGCTTACTTTATAAGATTTTTGTAAGACAAGAGCTTTACAACTTTTTTATATGGAAAATAAATCTAGAGTGTTTTGTTGTAATTTGAAGTCACAGTAGTCAAACCATAGGCAAGAAGTTTTGCATGGGAACGTATAACCGATGTGAGGATGGTTTTCAGAAGCAGATTCTGGTACAGTTCAAAACTGAATTCTTTTCACATTTATCGGTTTGATGGTTTTATAGATTTTTTGCATTTTAATCTATTTTTTATATATAAAGTTGTCTTGGGTTTTTTTACTTATTTATGTCTTTTAAATATTTATATACTCATTTACATTAGGAAGTATTGTTCTGAACACCACTATGCAGAACTAGCTGTGTTATAACACCACAGAAACCAAGGAAGTAACACAGAGATGTGAATATTATTATGACTTTTGAAAATCCCAATCATACATCTTGAAATTCCCATTTGAATAAAAAGTTTGAAAGAAAATAACCCCTCTAAGGATTCATCACCATAATTATAAATCATTACCTCATCTCCCCAAAGGGCCTCCTTCAATTCAAAATGGAAATAAACCCCTAAAAAATCTAAATAGTTTCCTTTTATGTATTCTTTCCTCCAATAAGAAGGAAAGTTTCTGAAGACTTTTGAGGCCTTCTTTATGGTTGAGACTGAGAGCAGTCCCTCAGGAGGAAGGGGATGGGGAAGCTGACAGCAACAATGTTCTTCTGTCCTTCTTCTGCTGAAGGAACATCCTTCCTGCGTCCCCCGAGTTCTCCTCTGCTCTTACGGACATCCTCTATCCCTGGCTACATTGCCCTGCACAGCAGATGATTGCTCATCTCCACACAAAAGAGAATGAATTTGAGCAACAAATACATTCTTTTTTGAGATGATAAGCAGACCCTGTCTCACCACTGTGGGGTAAATTACAAACTAGACCTTCATTTTAAAGAAGTAGAAAGAGACAAAGCAAAATGAACATTTTAAAGTCAATTTTAAATTAAATCTTGAGTCAAACATAGAAAGAACTATAATGTTAAAAATATTACACAGTGTTTATCGTAGATGTTAACTAACAGAAACCTATTGTATACTATATGGTGACTTAAAATGAAACCTACCTCCACGACCGAAATTGCCAAGATCATTGGGTCCACTAGTGCTGTTGTTTACTGGCAGACTTGTGGCAGGCCAAGAGTCTGCAAGCCAAGGATAACTGGGGTCACTTGCATTCAACAGACCTGGTCGACTGAAGCAGAATAAAAAAAAAAGGTATACATACATATATATATATTTTTACAAAAATTAATATATCTGTGAGACAAATAGTGATTGAAGAGACCATATGACTGTTCTAACACCGTAGGTAAAAAAGAGTTTAGAAGATGTTAATTTATTTCAAATTAAAATTGTGTAGCCTTCGATGATTTAAAGACGTTGATCAGTTAATTAAGGATATATACAAATCAACTTTGTCAGTAGAAGTGGGACTAGGCATCCGTCGTGATTCTGCCAGAATCCAAATGAACTCCGTTGTCTGTGTGAAACAGGGGTTAGGCAGCACCATCACAGGATCCTACACCAGGGCTGCATGATAAATTATCACCTCAAGGGAGCCATCGCTCAAACTGATTGCTCCGTATCAGCCATTTCCAGGACTTTGGGCTACTATTTCTTCCTTCCCTTGCATCCCAAATGCACGCCTGTCATCTACAGGCTGGTAACTCTTTCTCTGAGCACTCTTGGATGGTTTAGAGGCAACCAGGTTTGAATAAGATTAATGGAAAGTCCACAGCTATCTTTACCTGCCACTACTGCATGGCATTTATATCCCTGTAATTCCCAGCTTTGAGAGCAGTATTAAACAGTGAATGTGTTGAAAGAGAAGGTACACTCAGGCCATAAGGCACCGTGTCTCTCTCACCCCAGGACAAACAGCCAGAAATTTAGCAAGGCAGGTGGACTGTTTGTGTTTAACAGGGAAAAGAAATCATTTCCTGCAGACACCCCCTTCCCCCAAATGAAAACAAAAAAACACCCACAGTTCCGCAGCTTTTCTAGGTTATTAATGCACTCATGAAGTTGGAGCAACATCTCCGATCATTGTATGTTATAGACCCCTGCCTGGCACAATCCCTAAGAGAAACATAGGTTTCTATGGAAACGGCAATAAGAAGACCCAGCCGCTTTCTTGCCACATCTACTCACTCTCATTAGGCCTAATCTCTTTTTGCTAAAATATTGATTAAACGGGAGATTGGAAGTTATTACCAGGGCCTAATTACAATCTCCATATTGGCAAAGGGAAAATAGATGAGGATATATGGGCCCGTTATCAGCTTTTATCAATTTCAATTGAGTAGCCAAAGTTGTGGAATCCAGTCCTATCAATCTACAGCCTATTCATCATCCATGAATCATTTATTTTGTGATCGATTAAGTGTAATTGTTCACTCACAGCAATTTAGGGGGAGCCAATAAGGAGTCTTAAACAACAGCAACTTCATTTGCTAATGTCTAATTAATGCAATAAACATCCCAGTAACAAATGAACACATTCCTTGTGATATTTACTACGCATTTCTTTCAGGGCATCTGGGAGATATGAAACATCTGGGCTTGATTCCTCCAAAGTGCACAACAGATAGGTCATTAAACCTTGTGGTAAGCTACTTAACTCCTCCTAGCATTGTCAATCTTCCAAATGATCAGTTATTACCCAAGTGCATCACCTACAGCATTTTTCAGATCCCTAATTTTAAAAATAAACAGGACGGAAAGACCTTTATACAAAGAAACATACCTTCCATTGCTCATTAGTCCTCCATCTCCTCTTTGGAAAGTGACTGTGTTTTGGTTGGAAAACAAAACAAACACACACACACACACGCACACACATATAAGACAGGGAAAAATCAATTAGTAATAATTCAAAGTAACAATTCAAACTGCTCAGTGTCTGAGATTGGAGGCCTCTTGGCATCATCACATAATAAAGTACAGAAAATATGAGAGAAAAGGATCAAACACATTAGGGTTACAATTTGTTTAGGATTTCACTGCACCTTATTGGCTAACATCAGTTTGGTCCGTAGCTTGCAAGGCAAACCAGCTGCCTGGGTAAAAGGCCTGAATTTACCACAGGCCCCTTCATATGACTTTGCGTTGCAAGACTGCCATGTGATGAAATTGTTTTCTTGGCATGCTTTTCCTTCGGTACACAATGACATTGCACCAGTGAGTTAATAACATCATGTCGTAATGCAGTAATATAATGTCACCACACAAATATGCCATTTCCCAGGACAAATACGAAGAGGTGGCAGCTCTATTAGAGCTGAAGGGGTGAAAAAAAGCATACAGCTGCACTGTTTCCCTTAGAAGTACAGTATAAGAACCAGCACCCACACATAAATGCATATACACCAGTATCACTGGGAAGAGAAAGTGTTTCCAGTCTTGCCATGGGGGATGCCAAGGATACGTTCAGAGGGAGACAATTGTTTTCATGGCTCCATTCATGGGTGTTTGACAAAAAACAGCCTGTCCCTTATCTATCTTATTAACAGGATTACATTTCAGGGCAATATAGGTAAACCCACATTACTGGCGAGATGCTAATTGACAACATTTGATGCTCCTTTTTGAAGCACTGGCAAATATTTTGAATCAAGGCCAACAGACTACTCTGGTTCTCAGTGGCAATATCCCGTTATTTATTGTCAGGCATAGATAAGGCAGACTATTAAATTATATCGATGTCCTGGACACCTGCATCCTTACAGGCCCCTGACAAGATGAGGGTTCAAATTTCAGAGAGGAATGGAAGAGTCTGCGGCCAGTTTAATTTAAAATAGGCCTTGGTTTGGAAAGACTATTGGCCTTTGTAAGGCAGACATTCCCACCATTAAATTATAGCTCCCAGAGTATTTGCAAGATTTTCAAAATATTAGTCCAAACTACACTAATTCAAGATTAAGGTTTCTATTACACACCATTCTAATCAGACAAAATTACTACACCCACCAGAAATGCTGTAATCATTAAAAAAATTAGCAATGACATAAATCCACTGGGAAAATACTTCTGATACCCTATAGAATCCTTGTCACTTCATTAACTCCTAGGATAATTTCACAGTCTACATTCAGCAAAGGGGACAAAACTGGCCCCTCTGGAAGCCCTGCTGGAAGAGTGCTTGGGTAGGGTGATTAATTACCCTTCACTGCAGAACAGACTAATATCAATATCAGAAAATCACTGCAGTCATGTGTCACATCAAAATGGTTAATAGCTGAATTTTGAAAGGATGTAATCAAACCAATTAATGAAAAGAAAATAAAAATGCAAGCATGGGAAGTATTAAATAAAAGTCTGCTTTGAAAAACAAGACATGGTAAAACATTGCAGCTAATTTTAGAGCCGATGCTACTTTCATTCACGTTGTTTCTAACAGGCTGTCAAATGACTGTACCACTCATTGCTTAAAAGTGAATAATCTGAAGTGCTGTGGATACCATTTGTGAATATGCAAAGAGGTGGGTACTGCCTGGCTATGTTTCAAAGTATGTTGGTCAAAAGTACATTAAATGCTGTTTCCTTTCTCCTCCTCCCCTTCAAATTTAATACTCCATTTCTCCAATTTTCTGCATTTGTCAAAGCAACAAGAAATAAGGAAAATGAGAAACACAGGCGCATTCAGTAACAATCCTTATAAATGATGCTTACAGATTTAAGGGAATTCCAGTAAAACATACTTTCTGAAAACTTCTTGGGATTAATGTTCTTGTTTAGACTACCATCTACCAGAAATAATTTTAAAGTAATATTGTCACCACTTGTACAGCACATACAGGTGTGTGAGATTTTAACTATGCATGTCATATGCAAAAAAAACCACCCAACCTCGTGGTCTTCAAAGTATTTATATCCCTTGCATACCCTTATAAATCAAAGCTAAAATGGGGGAGCTAGTAGGAGATTGCAGCAATGTTTGCCAGACACATTTTATTGTCCATGTAGTGAGGTATGGAAAAAACTCCAAGGCACGTTGTGAGAAACCTATCAAGAAGACATGACATCGAAACTTCTTCGCTAGAGCCATAATTGCTGCAGATTGGCTGTGGCATATGAGCTTGTTGAGCAGAGACAGGTATCACAGCATTTACTCTTTTTTCTTCTATCTGTGTATCCTGGTGGTAGTAACTGTTTCCTGTTTTTTTCCTACATTCAATAACATTACACCCTCCCAACATAAACACTGTTTTTAGAAGAAAGGTTCGGCTTAGTTTATTAAAAAAAGAACTTGACTTGCAGTGACATTGTTTTTCCTGGGGAAGACTGTGCCTGGCTCATGTGATGTGTATGGAACTGGGAAGGAACACAGGTTCTTTCATTTATCCTCCACCCTGTATACCAATGCACGGATGGTTATAATCTTCATGAGAAAATAAACAAGAAAGTATTTTAGTTACTGTTCTTGGTGGAAAAGGCTATGGAATATCAACTAAGCTAGCTAAGATTCCTCTTGAAGTGTGGACATGTCATCAGCATGTTACAGAAAAAAAATCATATTCCTGATGCCATCCATAAATGGGCTACCTGAGGCTGGATAGAGAAGGTGCCTTTCTTTTAGCATCAATATTATGAAAGGAAAGACAGCTAACAACAGAAGATATGGTCAGGCTGCCAACACAAGCACTATGTTTATCATTCCTGTCGTACGTTTTGTCAGCATTTTTGCCTGCAGTTTGATTTCTGCAATTACAAAACAAGTCTAAGCGCCTGAATAGGAGCATACTTAATGCAATGCAGGCTTGTAGATGTCACTGTAAAAATAAAACACACAGACAGCTGGCTTTATTCATCCTGTCTCCACTTCAGAAAGAAGCAGAGCAATTTCAAGGGGCAATGTAAGGGGAGGAAGGGAAGGATGTCCCTATCACTGACCCACCCATCTCCCTTGCTTTTTGTCACCGAGGAAGCAAAAAGGCTCTTTCAGCATTCTTTGCATCTGATATATGTTCTTAGAAAGGCTGAAGACCTGCAGGGATGAGATTGGTTTTCAAAAGAAGATGAAAAAATAACCTCTGCATAGAGAGATTTTGAAGGAATCCCCACCAGCTTATACTTCAAGGACTGTAAAAATGCAGAAATATAATCCAAAGTGCATTTTAAATGCATAAATATTTAAGGAAACTATATTGTATATATTTGTATGAAGAACAGCATACGTTAAGGAGCTTTCCATGTGCTTTTTACTAAATATATGAGGAGGTACCCAAACCATTTACTAATATTATCTGACAAGGTTAAACTTAATCTTCATGCCTGTTAGAATTGGAAAAATAGGAATGTATAGTAAGTTGACATTCTGAGGCAAGAAAGCTTTAGAAAGCTTTCTGTATTGCCTATCTCTAGTAGGCCACATTTTCCTACCGCAAATGAAAACTTTAATGTTGCCAGCCAAGTCTCATTCCTTTTTCTGATAAGCTGTTCCTCAAATATGAATGTAGATTAATCCTCTTTTAATAAGCATTAACTCAGAACAGATAATCAGCATATAAAAATTCCATCAAATCTTCTGTCTACCTTTGGATGATTCAGCTGACCCCAAAGGGATATTCCACACCGTATGACGTCATGCTCAGCATATAAAGCTGGGGGAAGAAGAAGGAAGAGGGAGACATTCGGAGTGATGGCGTTTGTCTTCCCAAGTCACCCTTATGCATGATGGAGCCCTGCTTTCCTGGGGATGGCTGAACACCTGCCTGCCCATGGGAAGCAGTGAATGAATTCCTTGTTTTGCTTTGCTTGCGGGCGCGGCTTTTGCTTTCCCTATTAAACTGTCTTTATCTCAACCCACGAGTTTTCTCTCTTTTACCCTTCCGATTCTCTCCCCCATCCCACCGGAGGGGAGTGAGCGAGCGGCTGCGTGGTGCTCAGTTGCCGACTGGGGTTAAACCACGGCACTCATTTAACAGTTTCAGGAGTTGCGCATAAAATGTGTAGCATTCCATAATTCTCTATCTATTTTTAATTTGTTTTTGTTTACTTAGTTTCATGAAATCTTTAATCCCAAGGAGCACTAGTCATTAAATAAGCTTACCTACTCCTAAGTGAAAATACATATTTACTTTCTTTGCATGACTGATGGCCTAGACACTTGAAAACACCTGAGTATTCAAGTGAGTGGGTACTGGCACAACAATGAGTTTGCGTGCACAGGAAAGATAAGCAAGTGAATTAAATTTCTCTTATTTCTACAAATAGATTCCATGTCTTTGTTGTATAAGTCCTTATACCAAAATGTGAAAAGAGAATTGCAACTTTTAGTACAAAATAAACAAATTCTGTTCTGTCATTGTAATACAGGAATGAAACAAATCATCTATTATACGAGAAGTGGTCAGATATGTCTTTTGTGCCATCTGTCTTTTCTTGTATCGTGTAGAAACCCACAGTGCGTGTTTATACCCAGGCAATCTGAGTAAACAGTAACCACAAAAATACAAAAAAAACAGTGCAGCAGTACTTTAGCTTTTATAGAAACTCACAAAAGTAAGACCAATCCTTCCTTTATATCACAGAACAGATGACTGAAAAGGGGTAACATTTGTATTTAGTGTCTCTGTGCCAGATTTTGTTTTGTTGACAGTATGTCATGGTCCTGAAAAATGTATACTTCTTGTACAGCCGCAGACGATGACACTACTACTTACCAGTAGTCGTCTAACAAACATAGTCGAAAATCGCATGTTTTGTAGTACTGATATTACCGAGAATCAATGCCTGGTGAGTCATGATGGGGGAAAGGGAAGTGGAGGAATAGTGATGTACAGAATTGTGGCTCAGTAACTACCGGAGTCAGTTCAACTGAAAATAAGTAAAAAGATTTAGCTATGATTTTCAGTGTCACTTTATTTGTGACCATCTGAGCAATCGATCAGTGCTTATGAAAATGTTCACAAAGACAGAAAGCTTAATGAATTTAATTCAATCAATTACTCTTCTCTGGCACAAATCTTTACCAATTGAGTGACATTTGCTGTTTGCTCTTTTCCTACACAGAGTGTTACAGTGGTTTAGTCACACAGCAGAAATTATACCTCTTAGGAGCCTAATAACAGAATACGAATAACAAATAGTCCCAGTGAATAACCCATAATCTGAAAACGACCCGAAAGAACATTTTCAGCAAGTAATTGTATAACTGCAGAATCCAGACTTTTAAACAACTATTTTTAGTGTTTTAAGTTCTACACATATGCAAATACCACTGAAGAAAAATAAAACAAAAACCATTTACATCAGAAATAACTGAAAAAAATAGGTTTTTGTTTTGTGTCTGAAATAGAGTGAATATATGAATATTCACTCTATATCCACTAATACATTCAATTCTCTTTATTACACAGTCAAATCTGCACGTTCTGCAACCTTCTGAAGGAAGAATTTAAAGCAGGTATCTGAACAAAAAGTGTGCACCTTCTAAAATCTGAGTATATTAGGATAAATTCTCCTTTAGTAAAACTTCATTGACAGCCGTCTCTGATGCAATTCTGAAAGCTACATACCACTGTCTAAATATTTAGATATGAAACCAAACTGTTTATGAATCATAACTTTGAAGGGAACAACATACAGTTGTGAGTGTCATCAAACCCTCACAAGCATGGATGTGTTTGTCTAAATTATATTACCAATGGCAAATTCAAATATTAGAGAACTAACCATGTTTCTTATGGAACTCTGGGTATAAAGATAAAAAACATGGACTATGTTCTTTCATAAGAACAACTTTTTTTTTTAAATTAATGACATTTTTCTTGGACTTGACTACCGGATGACTTAGGTTCTCAGTGCCTCCAGAAATGATTATAGGCCAGGAAACAGAACTATGTGCTGTTATAGTTCTATAAAGTCCATAAGATGTCAAAACTGCTTTTAAAAAAGCAAATTTTTGGCAATGCCTTTGACATATCTTAGTTGTCCAGCACATGTGGATCAACTGCACTGAATCAGGCACAGTCACTGTGGCTCCAGCACAATCCTGTGTCATGCCAATGTATGCTACAAAGACAACGGAAAAAACTCACCACAGTTACAGACAGCTGACAGTGCCATGATCACAGGAACCAAATACAAAGATGCATTATTTCATTTTGGAAAAAATCCTATGCTGTGTCTCAAAGAAAAGCAAGTAAAGCGTTTAGGGTAGGATGTGTTGCGCCACAACTTACACTATCTTGAACAAACCTGCCTGGAAGCCAGAGGCGCAATTCCTGAGCCTCCAGAGCTTCTCCACAAGGACATTTCTCCCTCACAATGTCACAGGCCCCTGGGGCAGACACCACCACCTTCGCTCATCTGCCTCGACAGTCATCGGCTCTTTCCTGCTAAGCTGAACACTCAAGCTGTGGCTGAAGTTAAGCAAGGGCAAGGCAGCAGCCAGCTGAGCATGA